CCTCATTGTAGCCCCAAAACCCACAAACCCACAATCGAGGTGGTGAATTGTCGCGCATTCCGTGTGGGGCAAAACATGCCTCCGTGGCACTGAGTGGTTCTGGTAGGATCCTTGCTGGCGATGTTCTGTTCGCGCGGGTAGGTTGGATAAAAAGAGACTCATTGTTGTCCGCTCGACCCATCAGACATACATCACTCAAGGTTAATGACTGATATCTGATCCGCGTGCATCTAGTATTGAGTCTTAACAGTTGTTTTACAGCTAATGGCGTTGCGCCCTTACCATGATGTAGTCGGCTGGATGGGTCCATTGTGATTGTGGCGTGACCTCGCCTAAGAGCGGTCAAGAAGCAATTCGAATGCAACAACCTGATTACCTAGATCCACCTTGATCTAAAAATTATTTTACAATTCCATAACAGGGATTCCTTCGTTAGCACTGGCATAAATGACCGTTGCGGTTGCTCTAAGCGTTTTGATTTCTTTTTCGTTGACTTTTTGGCCGTGAAAAGAGTCACGTGAGGGGCCATGAGGGACTCCACAGCTTGTTCAGGTAGCCATTGGGCAGACCCTAGCCCTTCTCGATCGAGTTCACGATCAGCCGAGCATTCTGCAAGCCGTTCAATGGCTAAACATCCCCGCAGTATGTAATGTGTCGAAAATCGCAAAATTCTGAGGAGGCACTGAATACCTGTTCTTCCCTTCATGGGTCAGGCCCCGCATGAAATTTCAACCCATTGAAGAGTGTGTCACCCTCCCGTGGTTAGACCACGCCAGGAATTCACACGTGGTGAAGGGGGAAAGCTGGTCTTGAGGTCGACGCAGACATTACATCTCGAAAGCCACCAACCCCGAAGGGCGTGAGTGCTCTAGCCTCTGTGAAACCGGTCTCCCCGACGAAGACGTCGTTCATCATGGCTTGGAGAACATCTAACTCATAACGGACGCAAACCAAACCGCCACGAAAAGAACCAACCACACTGAGAACAAGCAACAGAAAAAGACGTGCAAAACAAAACTCCGAAAAAGGTCCGCCAATGGAAATAACGAAATAGCTGACAAGCACCACATCAGAAGATTACCCGTCGGAGTAGGGCTTCCGCTGAACGACGATAGCGTGACTCCGGCGGCGTGAAAAAGGGCAAAGGTGGAGCCCTCACATGGCAGACATTCTGATGGAACAGATTAAGCGAGGACATGAGGCAGGAACGCACCGCTTGTGCACCTCCTCCTTTTGTTCAAGAATATTCCAGTACCCACAGCGGAAGGGCCCGACCGCATCTATATCGACTACAGGCCTCTCAACATGCTAGTAAAGAAGGGCAGCGCGGGAATCGGAAACATTTCGGGGATGTTCGACCGAACGAAGGTCGACAATACTTGCTGCCCTTCATACGGTCGAGCATCCCCATCATGTCTCCGAGTCCCCAGCTGCCCTTGTTTTTTCTTCCTGTTGTGGAAACCGTAGCAGATACAGATGCGGTAGGACCCATCTGCCTGTGGGGCTCGCACGATCCAGGAAGACCACGAGGAGGTGGGCAAGCGGTACGTTCCTGCGATTGATCTGTTCTATCAAAATATCCGCCTTGTGAGGGCTTCACCTCCTTTGCGCCTGACACGCCACCGGAGTATCGCTCTCGTCGTTTAGCGGAAGCCCCACTTTCCTCCCATGTTTGACCCCAACACCCTTGGTGTCTTTCGGGAGCAAGTCCTTGAACTCGTGCGGCAGCTTCAACAATCGCTCTCGTGTCTCCGGGCCTAGTTGTCCCGTCTTGACCTTGCTTTTATCAGCTGCTGGATGCTCACTCGCATGAACTGGTTCTGGTTCCGGTCCTGCTCTTGTGCTTCTTGTGGTACGGTTCTTGGAGCAGCAGCCGCTCCCCACGTCGTCGTAATTCACCGCTACCGCCATGGCGACTCGCACTGTCTCTGTGACAACTTCGGGGATGGTCGATGTGTTGACCATCTTGATCTTCAGCCACGATAGTAGGCTCCATCAATGAATGCCATTGGCGATACCTAGCGTGGCCCCAACAGCAACGTTTCGGCGTACGGAGCTGGCCCCGTGACTCATGCAACTATCTCCACACTCACACAACCGAGCACCTGGGTCTCTTGGTTGACGAAGATCGGCCATTGTAGAGTTCCCTCGTGTTCCCACGCCGTAGACCCCAAGTACAGAGCTTCCATTGCCCAGACCTCTCTACCGACAATTCCACACCAGAGTTTCCGCGTCATCCCGCCGTAGACCCCAAGTTCAGAGCTTCCATCGCCCAGACCTCTATTCTGACAATTCCACAACAGGGTTACCTTCACGAGCACTAGCATGGCATGGACCGACCGTTTCAGTTGGTCACAAGTGGTTGCTCTCGGCGTTTGGCTTCGTCTGACTTGTTGACTTTGGGCCGTGATAAGAATCACGAGATTGCTGCGGGGCAACGGGGGGCTACGCAGGTTTTTCAGGTAGCCATTGGGGATACCCTAGCCCTCCTCGGTTGACTTCACGGTCAACAGGTTGGTAATATTTGGCGAGCCGTTCAGTGGCTATGGCATTGTGAAGTTGAAGGCTGTTACGTGTTCGAGAAGCATTAACGAGAGACATCAAGTCTACGCTACCCTATTTCTTCCGTCTAGCTGTGGTTGTTGTTTGTGTTTTCTGTTTTCAGTAGGAAAGATGCAGCACACACAAGACATCAATGAGTCTACGCGACCCCAATCTTCTGTCTTGTTGTTATTGTATTCCCTCCCTCCTGTGCCCGCAGGTTATCCTGAAGAATGGAAAGCGCATCCCCTACGGCCTTTGCTTCTGGGCAGGGGGCACAGAGGCGCGCCCTTTGACGCAGAGGCTGATCGAGGCCATCGGCTCGGAGCAGACGGATGCAAGCGGAAGCAAGAGGGGACAGATCACGGTGGACGGGTGAGAGGCGGTAATCTTGGTACTTTGCGCACGAAAGGCCATGGGTACAACACCATCCGCTTCGGAGTTGTACCGGTGACCCAATACTCTCCAGCTTCTAGATGGGGACAGGAAGGAAAGCGAAGGTCAGGCGATGGGCTGCTTTCGCGATGCATACTGCGTGCCGAGAAAAAAAAGTGCACGAAGCGAACACGCGAATCGACGATCACTTATCAATGTTCGACAGCTTCAATCTGAGACGGAGCTGCCCCATTCCCGACACGATTCCCCCTCGTCAAATCCCCTTTCTTTTCGTCGCCATGCGCATTGGGCAGATACATGCGCGCGTTGGGCACCAACGGGACTATCTTGGCGCTGGGTGACGCTTCGAGCATACAGGGGGTAAAGATGCCGACGACTGGGCAGGTGTGTCTCCTGCCGTCCGTGGGCAGTGTTGGCGTGGTGATACGGCGCATTCTTGTTCGTCAGTATTCCGTCCATGACCGTCGCGGGCAGGCGTTATGCATCCTTGCCCCCTCTGCTCGGCGAACCTCAGGTCCGGGTTCACACGCTTTTCTTAACCCTGGCTCGTGAGCATCAGCCGTTTCTCAGCCTCGACCGTTACACTGCTGCCGTTGTGCTGGTTTTTCCGGCCGCAGCGGCGTAGCGCGCGTTTGAGATGTTTCTCGGCCACACCGCTTCGCGTACGCGCTGTCTCGGGAGAAGCGCTGAATTCGCCGGGGGCTTATTGCAAGGCTCTGTCTGGCGGTGTTCGATGCCTTGTGTCTCGTGTCTCCCGCAAATTAAAGTCGGCGACTCTCGCCCACCGCCGTGTTTCTCGGATGAGCAGGTGGCCGCCCAAGAAGGGGCGTACGTGGCTCGTTTGCTCAACAGGGGCTACGATACCTCGGTGGAAGCGGCACCGACGGTGAGAGAGATCTGTCTTCTTAATTCTGATCACGCAGCATGAAAAAGGCGCATGCAGATGCTTCAGGACGATAAGCTCTTTGCTTTGACTAGCGGTCACGATGCGGGACCAGGGACTACATGAGCTTTGGGCATGGCGGGCTTACCGCGGCGGGTGTTGAGTACGCAGTTGCGGGCAACGTCCAAACAGATGGGAGCGGACCCTTTTTCTGCTATTGGTCGCGAAGTGTTTCGTGTGTTCCGCATCTCCACTCGTAGGCATAGTGACGAAACACAAATGGCGCGACCGACCTGGACTTCGTTTTCCTTCGGTCGTGCTGCGTGGGCACAAGCGTAGCGTCGACTTTGCTTTCCGCGTTCAGCAACATCCGTCAGTTGACAAGATAATGAAACGGTGCCGAGATCACGATTCCTGAGCGATCGCAGCACCAACTTTTTTGCTTCGTTCGTCTCTCCCTCCCACCTCCTCGGCACGTGTAACTTCGGATGGCGAGGTGTAATGGAAGTTGTTGTTGAGCAAGAGAAATGTGGTGCTCGATTTTCTAGTGCGCTAATGCTGATCCGCAATGTCGTCGGCCGTTGGGTGTATCTTAGCGCTTCGTGGACGAAAACGAGGTTCTCAGCTCAGGCATCACTTCCCCTTGCACCGCGACTTTTCGCCCAACCAAAGATGACCGGCTATGATAACAGCACCGCCGGCCTGGCGGAGAAGGCGGTGGACTTCTTCAGGCTCAGGGGACGCTTGTCGGCGTCCCCGTTCCATTTCATCAACCTCGGGGTGTTGGCGTACATCGGGATGGGACAGGCAAGACAGTCGGTCGGAGACGGGTTATGATGCACAGGGGAGATACCTAAGAGCTTGTCTTTGGCCGCCAACAATACGGCAGCTTCGCATAAGACGGGAGAGGTCGGACACGGAGATCCTCGGTGGGGAACGCTTGTTTGTTGTTGAAGCCAACCACCACAACTACTACTACTACTGCTACTTGACGACGCCAGCAGTAACCATATGGCAAAATACCAACAACACCGAAAAGAAGCAACGTGTGCGGCATCAACGATGTCGGGGCAAAGTCGCCCTATGCCGCCCACATGATGAACCCACCCCGCGCCTCGTCGGGAAACACGATGGGGCTCTCTCACTAAAGTATCCCTCTAACACGGCAGCTAGACCATATATGGTATATGGGGACGCTCTGACGGTAACTCCACTGGTGAAACTAGTTCAAGCGCATTTTTTGTTCCCTCCCCTGCCTTTTTCACTCCAAGCCTGTTTCCCCACTCTCCCGCCCCCTTTAGCAGATGCCTTTCCTGGATGTGGCGCTGATGGTGGCGGGTGTGTAGGGAGGGCTGTAAGCCTCTGTCGCTGTACTGTCACGTTGGAGTAGGTACATCTCGACACAAACGAAGGCGGGAGGGATGGCAACCACTCGCCGCTGCCGCCTAAACACCTCCCGCATTGACGAGACGCCTCTGTTGTTACTCTGTTGCCGGTTTCCACGTCCCTGGCAGGCGGTAGCGGAGGTTAAGGTAGGGAAAGACACCCCGGTGCTCGACGCCGCGGGAAAGGCAGGGTTCTTCTTGTGGAGATCGACGTACGTCGTCAAACAGGCAAGCGTTTCCAAGAGGGCGTTTTCCTCGACAAGCCTGGCTTCGTGGCATGTGTGCTGGAGCTTTCATTGGTGTTGTGTGCACTTGTTCCAAGAGTTTTCTGACCTCCCAGGGGAGTTGACGGGATGCCTATAAATAATATATACACGAAGGATGGAAAGCCACAGGGGTTGCGGGTATTCTAGGATTGTTGAAGATGCCAACGCCATGGAAGAGTGAATGGATTTGTCAGAGACGATGCGACACGGTCTGGTTGAGTGATGTAGATATAGCGGAGTCTCTTCGCTACACAGCCATCAGGTCCATCCTTGGAGTATTCCGCAGAAGGCCACTTGGTTTGGTGCTGGGCTAGCGTCGAGCACGCTGCCGGAGATGACTCGCGCTGTTGACAACGGCTGGCAGTCCGTCAGATATCAACGTAGAAGATCAGATCACTCAGCTGTGCGTGAAGGCGGCGCAGTGGTCGTTCCGGTATATTGCCAGCCGAATAATACCGGGGAAATCCTCTGGCACACATGGAACACATAACTTATTTCATACTCTGAATACTGCCGGTTGCCAGGGTGAAGTTGGCTGGATCGCACTGGCATTGTGCGGGACCTCTGCTGCATCTCCGTTGTGCTTCTGGTGTTTTTCTACTTTTTGTCCCCGGTACTCCCTTTCCCGGTGTTTGCCATGGGGGTTGGGTTTTCGTCGCTTGGCAACGACGTTGTAAAACAAGCCGTCCCCCTCGGTGTTTGCCATCGGGGATGGGTTTTCGTCGCTTGGCAACGACGTTGTAAAACAAGCCAATTCACTTCGTGAACTCGGCAACCAGGTTACCGTTTTTTTTTTTTACCTCTGGTTTTTTTTTTGGCGGTAACCATAATGGTGGTCGAGTAGATCATGTTGTGCGGGGTGGAGAACCCTCGCTCCGCGCAAGGGGGATGATCGCACCACGTTGTGTTAAAATGGTCAAGCACCCTCGAGGCAGTTACACAGTGCTTACAACTGTCTC